GTGGTCTTCATCGCTGCTGCTTTTTGTTTAGCTACAATTACTTATTTAATCATAATTTCGTTCGCGTTTCAACAATCATCAATCATCAAAGCCGGCAGAGGTCTGTGCGACTGGGCCAACTGTCAGCCTGACAGATTGCCAGCCAGTTTGGCCCACAGATCCCGGGCTCGGTCTCTAGCTGAGTATCTGGAATGCAGCTATGCGGTCTGCCTCAGCTGTTTAGTGCAAAAAGTGGCATCAGCCGCAGAACGCCACAATTATCTAGTCAGCAGTCAGTCAGTCAGTCAGTCATTCAGTCAATCGGGCTCGTTGAACTTGCCGTTTGCCATGGCTGCTCTACCAGCGATCGCGCAAATCAATCGATCACGTTTTGAGACCAGCACTTGCTGCAATCAACTAGCTGTTACCCTGTAAGCTAAGCATCCAAGATGCCATGATGCCATGGATACCCTCAGTCCCAAAGACAACAAACCAAGGCAGGAAAAATTGAAGCGCAACTGAATGAACTTTCCAAACGGGCAGCAGCGCAACTCGCGCGATTCGCTGAAGTCGAAGAGCTAAAGTTGCAGCGACTGCGGCAGATGGATTGATTGATTGCCTGAAACAGTTAGCAGACATTGTCTGGCTGGCTTATTGCTATTTATGATCTTGATCTATGGATCGAGGGCAAAAGCACATGCGGCGCTGTCGAGCAGCCAGTGCACATGTTGATAATCAGCACAGCGGCTGATAATGATGCTGTGGCTCAAGACTCAGACTGTAAACTCCAAACTCTAGCTGGGAGCTGGCCTTGATTGTTAGTGGCTTCTTGCAAAGGCAATCGAACACCCCGCTTTCCCTGCGGCATTTACCGCCTCGTTTCTGATTGAAAACATTTTCCCCAAATTGTTGCACAAAAAAGCAAAAAAGAAACACCTTTAAGGGTATAGCTAGCTTGTTGCGGGTTAAAGAGCTGTTGGTGTTAAGTGCACGATAATCGATTCGATTCGATTCGTTGCGAGCTCGGCCCGATGATGTTGGCGTTAAACGGTCAGAGCCCGAAATTGCCTATTTATGGCCGTTTCGGCTTCGGCAGGAAATCATACATTTGCATGTGCCGAATGGAAAGTATCTATTAGACTGCACTAAAAAATCTAGATATATGGATATATAAAACTTCGCGGAGACATTAAAAGCCATTGCATCACCAATGGGACTGGGACCAAAAAAAAAAACCAAAAACAGATAAAAATTTGTGAATTGTAACGCAAGGCAAGGGAGCCTAAACTCAGCCTAAACTGGTTAACACATTTTGCCAGTTTTTACAGCGTTTTAATTACGCTCAACGCCCAAAAACAGACGGCAAACTCAAAAAGAATTCTGTCTTAAGCTCTTTGTGAGTGTTCGTATAGCGGCAATCAATGAAAACTCAATAAAAAGTAGCCTGACAAACGCACACGAGCCAAAAGGTAGTTATCATTACAGCCAAGACTTACATTTCGGCCAGAAAAGCAACGTGTTTTTTTTAACGATATCGTTTGAGATGAGGTTGCACCCAGTTTTCGGCTTGCTGCATACTAATTAGCCGCATGTGATCAGGTGGTAATTGCAATTTGCACCTCGCCTAGCTAAAAGAAGATCAAATCTGGTATTGAATTTCCACTTTATAGCCTGCATTCACTTCCCCTTTCTAGACCGCAGTTCCTGGATCCATTTAATGGCCAATGCTTGGCCAATACTTGCTGGCCATAATCCTCATTGCACTTCATGGCCCGAAACAATGCGCTAATGATTTATTTAAAGCACATTAACATCGGTATCGGTATCGGAATTCGGCATTCAGCAACTCGGCAACCGAAAAGCAGCGGAAAGCTGTTCAAGATTGCCCACTGGGCTGGCTGGGTGGGCGTCATCGCTGGGATTTGCTTTTTTTTGGAGGCCGCACCCCTTTTTCATCTTCATCTTCAGCACTGGCATTGGCAATGACCCAGCACTGCACCACCGGGAACCACTACCACTGCGTACTTTCCGTATCACAAGCTGCGTATCTGCGCCGCGGGTGCAAAACGAAATCGACATTTAATGCGCTACCACACAATTTCTAGCGGTAGAGGTGGGTGGATGGGAGGTGGTCTGTAGTTGGATGGAAGGTAGGGAAGTGGATTGAAGTGGGAGGGAGCGGCCGTTTCCGTTTGAGTTGCGGTTACCATGATATCGCATATTTCAATCAATTTGCTTATTATTGTCGTTGCTCTCGGGGCATTCCCGTTAGTATAATAGACCATAAAGGTGCGCTTGAGATCGACACACAAAACACAAGACGGTAAAAATAAAGAAACTGAGGAAACAGCAACAACAATTTCACCACAATATACTCGTATATATATAAGACAAGTCGGATCTTAGCTTTCGATTTATACCCTTGAAGAAGGTATGTGAAAATCGTAAAATTTTAACATCACTAAAGCTCTGTACCATTTGAAGTTTCAAGTTAATTTCCTGTTTTTTCACTTTTGGAAAGGTAATTTTTGGTTTAAATTATTGCTCATAGACCACATCCTTTTCTTTGTGATATTAAGCCAATACTTTGCTAGCTATTATGGACTTAAGTTTAAGTGCAATATTCCAAAGGCTTGCAGATTCTTTCAGAAAATGTTGCGCAACATCAAAACATCTCTATTCAGACTTTAGAAATATGGAAATGCAAAGCCATAAAAGGCTCAAGGACCCCTAGAAGGGTACTTTATATGTCGTTGGCTTAAAAATCACACCCGAATTTCTGTTTTTTTTTTTTTGGTATTTTTCTTGGGCTGTGTCTAAAGCGTGAGATGCGACCACATGCAAATTTGGCCGGCACGATGTCCCTGACAGACACTTGTCAACGAATTTCTTTTTGTTCGGATCCAGCCATTTTGTTCTCGACAAAACTATGCAAATATATGTCAGGGAGATGGAAATGGAGTTGACGATGGAGATGGAGATGACGATGCCATGCCAAAGGCGATGTCAACTGAGCGACAACAACGAATGAAGATCAGCTCGCGGGCTTATTTATTTTATTTTTATGTACACTTACGAATATATGTTACATCGTTGTGTTCTCCTCTAAGTTCCTGTGCACCAATGTATGTGCCCGCCCCCTTGCAAGTGCAACTGCAACTGCAATTGCAGCGGCATTAGGCATTCAGCCAAGCACTCTTGGCCCGAATGGCAAGCACTTGGCCAGGGAAGAAACTGCAAACTCTAACTCCAACTTGGCTGCTTTTCTTGGCTTTGGCAAACACATTTTTCGCGCCCCAAAAGTGTTGGAGGCGTTTTGTTGTCCACTTAGAGACATGGGGCCGTCCGTCTGCCTCTGTATGGTTGCAGTTGCAAGAGAAATATAAGAAGAAGAAGAAGAAAAGAGGCACAAAGTTGCAGCAGCCACTAAGCGTCTTGGGCACACGTCAGTCTGTCGCTTCCGTCGGCCTCTCTCTCTCTCTTCTCCTGCCTTTTATTGCCTTTTGTTGCCTTTTGGCGCCTTGCGGTTGGTCGTTGTTGATTGTGGCATTTTGATTGATTTCTTTTGACTTTTGGCAGCCGCAAATATTTGGTAATCCTGCCAGCGAACAAGCCGCTTCATCAGCAATTTTAATGCATATTTTAGCACCTCGATGTATCGGCATTTTCTCGGCATTTTAATGTCAAAGCTACTTTCTAAGCGGACAAAACAGAATTTGATGACATCCATCTGACTCTGTGCAGTTGGCTTCTATATACATATATATATATATTTTATTTTCTGTCTCCCATTGACCATAAACTTGATTTCTGTGCACATTCGGAGACAATTTGTCAGAAATTCTGGCACTTTTTCAATCCGTTTTCAGCAGCCCGAGTATTAAGGTCAACGTCAGTGCTTAATTGAACACCTGGACAGTCGAAACCACCGTGGCGGCGATGGTGGGTCAGCAGGTCTGCCAAGTGACTCATAAGACGGTCCCAAGGTAAAGGCAGAATGATATTCACTTCAAATGAATCGAGTCAGCACGAAAATCAAAGGCTTAAATGAAGGAAAACTAAGTCAATTTCCCTGGACCTACATACAGAAAGAGGTTCTTTATTATATTACCATGAGATATATTTATAAGTTCATAATTTAATAACCATTAGCAGAGAGGGCTTCTTTGAATGAGACCAACTTGAGGCTGTTTGTCAGACATGTTAGCATAATCACAAGCTACTCCAATGCTCTTAATTTCTACTCCAAAAAACTTTTGAAGCGTTTATTCAAACGCTAGTAAACCTCATTTGTAATTGAGATGTGCAATATTGCAACACATTATTGACAACAGCAGAAACGAACCGAAAATGCATCTTCAGCTGTCAAAAATTACCGAAAAGCTGCATATTGTTGCCAATGTTGCAGGTGTTGGTTGTTTGCTTGGCTGGCTTCTTTTGGGTAAATAGTGCAAAATCGTGAAATCAAATTTGTTCACGTTGTTGGCAGTCGATGTCTATTATTCGCTTTATGTTAATCAAAACGGGCCAGCGACTCAGACTTAGCCAGATTTTGCGTTGTGTTCCTACCAAAATGAACGAAAAAAATCAGACATCTAGCACCCGCTCTCCCTGATACACTGAAAGAAAATGTTCTACAGTTAGCGTTGCCCAAAAAAATGGGTAAGGAATAACGTTTTTATTTTATTTTAATATCAAGTTTCAGCAATTAAATACTTTTAAACTCAATTGATAACTGTCTATTTTGGATTAAAAACATGAATAAAATGTAAAATCGAAATGTTTATATTTTCCACAGTGCACACCCCCTCTCTGTCAGTAGGCCACAAATTGTTGGTTTTAGACTGCTTCTTTGGTGTCGGGGCTTTACATAATTTGGTGGATCTGTTGTGGTTGGCTTGTTTCTCGTTTCGCACTCGGAGTCTTATTTCGTGGCTCCGGTCGTGTCTCTGCGGTGTCTTCCTGGTGAGCAATTTGCATTTATTTTATTTGCAGGGGAAAATGACAGAGCCAAAGGCAAACTACAGGCTATTGAGAAATACGTTGGTGTAGAACAGAAGCAATTCGATGGTAAAGACGACGGATGAAGTCCCCAGACCAGCTGCGAAGATAGTCCAGCATATTCGCAGGTCCTTTGTCCTCAACGCCCTCATCACTGTTGTACCGCTGTAGTCCTTGATGGTCATTCTTCCAGCTCTAACCATATCATAGAAACTCTGAGTCATCCAGAGGTTAATCAATCCAGCCTCATCTGCCCGCAGGGTGAAATGATGAAGAGATTCCCGGTAGATAGACTCTGGGGCTATGAGTAATGCACAGGGTGAGGACCAATTAAAGCACAAGTCCTCGGAAAATCGGAAAACTGGATGGGCAAAATGTCTCTGTTGAGCTTCGATCACTCGCCACTTCACCGATGTAATGGTATAGGCCCAACTGGTGTTAAAGTAGTTCCTATTGTCATATAATGCATTGGGATTATCTGTGAGGTAAAAAGCTGAAGCATACTTGGCCCGAAAGCTGCCATCCAGAAAATAGAACTCGTTCCGCATTCCAAAGATTTTCAAGCCCGACAACAAAAGATCATCAAAACTTTTGATCCTTGAATGGACAGGTGGAAAAATCAGTAGGGAAAGGAGTTGGGCAGAGCTAGCACTTAGCATCACCAAACTAAAAATCCTTAAAGCCAAACGAATTAGTTTTCCACGAAATCTTATGTGTAATAACTTAATCAGTTGTGGGACTACCAGGAAACACAGGATTGCAATTAAATGGAGTAGAACTACTGTTCCGGATGTGAGTACATGACCAAATAAGGTGTGGACACTCAAGGGCTTCTCCAAGGGCAACATGGTGCACCAACTGGAGTAGAACATTGGATAGCTATAGTCTTGATATCTCTCCTCGGGCTTAAATATTATCATGTTGGTGGTCAAACCAAAATCCGAGCTTCCATTCCTAGTAAACTCCAGCATATATTCCGAAGATGACACCTGGGCTTTTCGCCATGTTGGATATAGAATCTGAATGCCAGCTCCCAAAGTTTCAGAGAAGTTCTCTATAATTTTCCACATAAACCCGCCTATTCGGGTTTCACCGTGTTTATCTCGATAGGAAAATGAATTGGGAGGCGATAAATCCGGTTGAACTCTCAGTTGATAACCGCGGAGATCAGCTAGTTGGTTGGTAAAAACCCTCGGTGGGGATGCTCCTGATAAACGCTGTTTTGCAAGATTAAAATATGGAAAAGCCGTGTAAGTGTAGATATTAAGATGCCGAGTCCAACGTTGGAAGTACATCACCACATTCAGCATACTATAGTGCTGGCAAAGCGAAAGGACTTGAGAGGCCAAGAAGTAGCTCTCCTTATCCTGAATCTCGATGAGTATCCTTACAAACCGAAATCTTGTCAAACTTTTAGCTAAAAGCCGTATTTGCCATTCATATAACCTTTCAGATAGACAAACCATTGCAAAGATTTGACTACTATGTCGGTTGTACAATCCTGGATACATTTCCTCTCTAAGCCAGACAATCTGAGGCTGTTGGGTTAAATTGGTCCTTTGAAGTATTTCCCAACTGCAATTGCTTTTTGTCGGGTTAAAGTAAAACAATGTCGTCTCCGCGGGTACCAAAAACTGCAGGACCAAGCCATATAGATCGACCAACTCGGGAGCAGGACTAAAACTAATGTTGGACAACATGGCTAACACCGAAACCGGAAAAGACTGAAGGACAAACACACCGGACTGGAACTGGAAGTTGTCCATAAGCCAATGTTTGCTTTGGAAATCAAATGCTTATCGCACGTAATTATCCGGGGACAATTGAAATACGGAAATTAAAAGTTTGCCCAGCGAGATAATCAATGTGACTTCGCTATGGAACAACGGTAAGAGTTCAAGGCGAACTCCCAGTTTGTTAAAGTTACGATTACTCGTATCTGGAAATGTCTCTGCAGCCATGTAAAATCCATAAATTCCTGACCTTTCAACTTTGTGGGCAAGGCAACCGCAAACGCAACGCAAAAACAAAACAAAATGCAACGAAATAAAAAACAAAAAACGAAAAACCAGAGAGAAAATACGACAGGCCGAGCCCAGAGGGCCAGCTGCAGCTGTAGAATTTTTAAGCTGAAATATTTTTTTGGCTTCACATGGCTACCCTAACAAAGGGCACTTGGAACTTATTAAAAGGTAAACCTCTTTTAGAAAGTAATGTTCATTAATGGGAAAGACTTGAAATGATAATAGCATTTAAGAAAAAACAAACTAAATATATTTATTTCCATTTCTTGGAATTTTTTTATTGATTTCTGAATATTAAAAGTTTCCTGGAAAGGGTCTCAAAATTTCGGTGCTGGCCATTCCAGCTCCCGACTTGTTTTTTGGCTGCCATTCAAAGTTCAGGCGGCGTCTTTTTGGCCGGCCAAGAGGTTTTTATGGTCGGGGCTGTGACTTAAGCCTGATCCTTCTTGGCAGCTGACAACACCCTCGCATCCGTCTTGCGGAGAAAGTTTTCTGCGGTCTTTTGCAAATTTCTGGATGGGCATGCGTGTTTTCTACATCGCTGACCTTCGGTGGGACAGATCGTTTAATAATTTGCAGCAAATCTTGAATCGCGATTGGATTGTTGGCCACGACTGTTTGGAAATTGTCTCACATGTCGTGAGGGTCTTGGCCCGCTCGATCAGCGGTTTGTGGCTTGATTTTCCCGCCGATCACGGCCACATAATTCATTTCCCAGGCATCGTGTTCTTTGGGGAAATTTGTCAACCAAATCGTGGTGCTTCTTGTGTGTCATAAATTGCTTTTGGCGTGCCAATTGTCTTAGCCCAAAAACCGAGAATCTAGACATCGATTCTCCCTCCTTTGGAGTCATGAAAATTCTAAAAGTAAACAAGCCGAAAAACTGGGCCAATTCATATACAACAAAAGAGTCGGTTCATTTGCCTAACTAGACATCATTTGAAATTGAGATATGCATGTTGCAACACATCATTGACAGCCGTGGAAACGAACTGAAAATGCATCTTCAGCTGTCAAAAATTACCAAAAAAAAAAAAGAGCCGCTTGTATCTGCCAATGTTGCCTATGTTGCAGGTGTTGGTTGTTTGGTTGGCTGGCTTCTTTTGGCTAAATAGTGCAAAATCGTGAAATCAAATTTGTACACGTTGCTGCCAGTCGATGTCTATTATTCGCTTTATGTTAATCAAAACGGGCCAACAAAGACTGAAACTCTCTTGCGTTGTCCTACCAAAAATGCTAGAAACAGACAACTCCGACACTAGGCCACAATTTGCTAGTGTTTGCTGCCAAGGTTTTTACATAATTTGGTGGTGGATCTGCTGCGGTTGTCTGATGGCTCGATGGCCCGCTCAGTGGTTCGTTCGGTGGTTTAGTGGTTCATATCTCCCCCTCGATTGGGGTCTCATTTCGTGGTGCCCGTCGTGTCGCTGCGGTGACTTCGTAGGAGGCAATTTACATTTATTTCATTTGCCCTCGCAGCTCGCAGCTCTCAGCTCGCAGCTCGCAGCTTGAAGGTGTAAGACGGTAGGAAACCATTCAACAGCATTGTTAACTACTGTCTCCTTGCCAGCGTTTCGGGCACTCCAGGAACCCTTGTCACCGTCACGAAGTAAAACACAAAGTTTCTATTTAGTTTTTTTTGTCCTGGCTTGTCTCTATTATTTACTAAGTGGTAAGTTGGTGGTAGGGTGGTTAACCGGAACTGCGTGGTTTTATCGGAAGCCATCGCCGTAATTGCCGCGTGAACAATTAAAAGCCCAGCCAATAGTTTACCCAACTGACAAAAAGTTCGCTGGTAAATAGAACTAAACTAATTAACACGCCACAACCATAGAGAACGATGACATGTCTGAGATCCGTAGTGTTAAGGGTCTCCGCCTGATAACGCTTTCCAAAGTCCGTAAAGTTGATCTTACCGGCTTTCACCATATAGGAGAAACCCCTGGCCACCCACAAATCATGAAGACCAGACTGTGAGAGTAACAGGGTGAAGTTATGCAAGGGAGCTCTATGTGGGGAGTTCTCGGGAATAACCAGGCCGAAAGGTATCATCTCGAAGAAACAAAGATCCTTGGAATATCGAAAGAGAGGCCTTGAACTTCGCTTCTGCTGCTCCTCATAAATTTTCCACTTTTCACTAGTAACAGTATAACCATAAGAAGTGTTTAGGGAATTCCGTAACCTGATCAGCTCTGTACTCTTCAAAGTAAGCCGAAAGGCAGCTGAGTACTTAGTGCGCTGTGTAAACTCAATCGAAGAGTACTCCGATCTTATAGAGATAATCCTTACTGGAGATTCTATCAAGGCAGCCAGGCTATCGATTGGTGGTAAAGATGGGGGATCCGTGAAAAGAGGTAACAGTCTGCCCAGATAATTAGAGCTCAGCAATGTGGCCAACACCAGCCAGCCAATCCTTTGAAGCCTCTGATGCCTCCGCCATCGTCTATGCGTCATCTCATGCAAAATCCAGAGAAAAATCAGAAAACCAAAAGTTGGATACGGCAGCACTCTAGAAAGCGATTCGGATATATCAAGCTGCCTCTCCACCGGCAACATGGTGCACCAACTGGCTTGATTCACTGTATAGGACAGCTCATGCACCCGATCTAGGCTACCCATTGACATGGGCTGAATGCTGGCACCTACATCTATAGTTCCACTTTGAGCCACATCCAGGATTTCGATATAGTTTAGAGGCCTTTCATCCGGGTACTTATTGACCACCTCCAACTGGGCGTTGTGTTTCCGAGCATATGTCTCCATGATGTCCCACAAATATCCCAGGATCTTCTTTTTACCCTGTTTGTCTCGGTAGAGTATGGTATTTGGCTCGGAGTAGTCAGGCATTGTACGGAGTCTACCACCTCGGAGGTTTAACATCTTATTTGGGTACAAATCAGTTACTGGTGTGTCCTCTGTAAAAGTTAGATTCACCATCTCAAAGGACGGATAGGCCTCAAAGCTGCTTACTATCAGAGTCTCCCCGAAATCATTGAAGATGGCATTGACATTAATCATATCCCGACTTAGACAGAACTCCAGAACCTGATCGACTAAATATTCATCTCTGTCCTCCATAAACTCAATGAGTATTCTGGCCTGTCTAAGGTATTTTAAGCTCCTTGTCAAACTGCCCATAAAAGCTCTCCAATGGAAGTCTGGAAGACAGGCCAGTACCAAGAGTCCCTCGCCGATAAATCCATTTAGAATCACAGTCCTGTCCGAACGCCATATTACCAAAGGTAATCCCCAAGTTGATGTGGCAAGAGTATCCTCCAAGTGGCAACTTCCTATTGCTGGAGCATAGAAAAATATGCTGGTAAACTCTTGACCACGACTTATCAGCGACACGAGCTTGTGATGAATACTACTAACGGTCGCAGACATCTCAGGGAACTGACTTCGATCCAGGGATGGTTCTATCTAATATTAGGAATTTTATTTGCTCAATCGGTGGGAAAGTAACGCACGGAAGGTTATTTATAAAGTTGATATGAAGTTGTGGTAAAAATAACAAAGTATAGTCGATATACTTTTGAGATACCCATTATAGTTTCTCTGCAAACCTTTCGAACTTTTATCCTTTAGAAAGTCTTTCAATTATTTCGCTTTTAATTTGGAAACCAAAACATAACACAAGTATCACAATTCTCATAAAGCGAATACACTTTCTTTTTCGCTATTATAGGTAATCCTTTTTATTTACTTCTTCGACTTCTTAACTCAACCTACAAGTTGTCTAAGCAAACATTTACGCAGTGAATTGTGAGCTCGATGACAAACACAACCACCGAAAATAGAAGTCCAACCCCATACGTTGCCGCCATATACTGCCATTCCGACCAAGGAATCGCTTGCACATGGTGGTGCGTGTTGATGTCCCGAAGATGGAAACGTCCTGCCTCAACCATGACATAATAGGATCGACGATACCACAATCGTAGTAGTCCAGCTTCATGTAGTCTTATGATAAACTCCTTCATCTGGTAGCGATATATGCAATTGTTTTCCAGGATCAGTGAGAAAAGTGATAGCTTCTGGACGCAAATGTCAGTTGAGTAGCGAAACAAAGGTCTTCGAAGACGCAGCTGGGCCTCCTTGTACAGTTCCCACTTAATAGAGGTCACTGTATAACCATAGGATGTATTGAAATTATTTCGATATTTTGCCAAATCAAAGAAAACGTCATGCAGCAAAAATGATGAGGCATATCTACTCTTTATGTCGATGGGATACTCCATGAACTCCGATCGCATTCCTCGGATTTTTAGACCAGCTTCCTGTACCTGCTGCATGCTGCTTATATGATTAACCTCCTGAGGTCCTATGAAATAGGCCGAAAGTTGAGCTTGCAGGAAACAGAGAAGCGCCAGGAAAGTTAGAGGTTTCACTAGATGAACTAATGGACTGTTGAGCCGTATTCTGTAGATCAAAAACTTATGCAGCATGTAGAGCAGTACTAAAAAGAGCCAGGTCCAAGGTGACTTCATCAATCTGAGCAATGCCTCATGGCTTGTTATAGCCCTTTCTACTGGTAACATTGTACACCAATTACCAACCATCATCGGATACCCAAAGATGTGGGCTTTACTTCGCTGGACATGAACAAAAGGCCTCAAACTGGCTGCTATCTCTACGGTTTTGTTTCTCACTAAGTCTACGACCTGAGCATAGTTTACGGTTCTTTCAGTAACTGGATTTCCGGGTAGATACAAACTTCCATTAATATGTTTTGCAAATTCAATCATAAACCGCCAAACGGGTCCATATATCACATAAGAACCATTCAAAGATCTTTGCACGATGGTATGTGGCTCTGAATTATCTGGTAAAGTGCGAATCGGATGTCCTTGAAGATTTCCCAGCTTGTAGGGAAACAGAGTGAGGTATGTTTCATAAACTTTTCTTATAACTTTAAACTTTGGAAACATTTCATAAGCGTAGAATGTTCTGGTGCTAAAAAAGTTCCATGAAAGCAGCAACACATTAGGCATCTTCAGCTCCCAACACAAGTAGAATATTATTCCAGCTGAATCCTGCTCCTTAATCGGATCTTCCTCTCCACAAAACTGAAGCACTAAGGGTATACTACGAATTTGATCCAGTATTATGCTTAGTGCATTCAGAACTTCCTTATATTGAGAAAAACTCAAGCAAACCACTGCCAAGATGTCCATATCCTGTCGAAAGCCAAGATAATGTGGGTAGGTCTTGTCGTTCCACAGCAAAGTCGTTGAATTATCAGTTCCCAAAAACCCTTCGAACCAGCAATCACAGGAACTCAATCGATAGTAGAGTAAGGTCCTGAATTTTATCTCCACCCTTAAATGTGTCCAGAAGTGTTCGAGAACCTCAGCTCGTAGCCAATTTGGTGTCTCCACCAACTGCACTTGTTGCCACATGCTTGACTTTTGGACTAGTGGCCCATTCAAGGATTGGTTAGAGCTTTTTAAGGCCCTGCTACTATTGTTCTCTATCCGAATTCGAAGGTGTCAGCATTTTTAAGGGCTGACTTGCAGAACCCTTTCTGCCACTCATTTCGAATGCCAAATGCAGGAGAGTTTCGAATACAATGCAGCAGAGTGAATGCAAAGGAGCTCGCGCCAACGCTCGAAAGCAAAAGTTGCGACGCACAAAATTGTGGCTTTTCTGACCTGTCGCCGTAGTGACCCAAATAAGCCAAGGAGAATGCTGCAGGATGGAGTGTTCGAATGGGAGATACCCTAGGCTAAGAACTACTTTAAGTTTAGATAGTATGCTTAAAAGTTATATTCTTATATATTGTCCTTTACAAGTTTTTACACACGAAGAGGATACATCCATAAACATGTTTGATTAAAAATGAAAATGGAAATAAATATAAACTAGCAAGCAATTGGTTAATAAAACTTTATAGTAAACTTGTTATTTAAGTATTTCGATAAGTACAGGCCTTTACAGCTCTTTAATCTACCAAACATCCATAAAAAACCAATCTAAAGGTTAAAATAATAAAAGAATAAATATGTAAAATTTGCATCTTCACATTCATGATCCATCAGATGATATACCCCAGTACAAACCTCGCCTGTGCCTGTAATGTACAAAGACAATTGCTGGCGAGCCAAACAACAGACCAGCGTGTTGACAATGGTCAAATGTTCGGGCCAAATGTGAAGATGCAGCTGGGGATCGGCGAACTCGGTAACCCGCCGGCGATCCCTCACCCCCTGGCATACCGGTCAAATGAATTGTTGTTGTTGGACTTCTTGGTCAGCACCTCCAATCGCACACCCACTGCAGCAGGTTGCTGGATCCCAAGACTGGCAGCCATGTCCATGTCATCATCATCATCATCATCTCCACTACAGCATTAGCAGCAACGGCAACAGTATTATTTTGTTGCTTTGGCTTTCGATGGTGTCGTCTCGTGGTCGTGGCACTTGTTTTATCGTCATTTTACAGGCATTTTTCATAAATTACAGTTTATTGTTGTTTGATAAACGGTCAGCGGTGGGCGCTACTTGTATTTTGTGACCAGCAGCGGCGACACGCAAATAAACCCAAAGCAGAAATTACAGTGGTTTTATTGTATTAACAACGTTGTCGCATCATCGTCGTTGGCGTTTTTCAGTTTTGGTGTTCGTGTTTGTCTGGCTTGATAAGTTAAGCGTTGACATCTTTATGCACCTGTGTGGGCATACTGCCTATATGCATTCCCCTCCACAATCAAGAAATCATGTGAAAAGCTCGAATAAAAGTCGAATTTTTTATGACCCAAATTAATGGCTTTCCATGGAGCCTGAGAACTTTTCCGCCTGCCAGCTCACACCCTTAAATTTTGCAATAAAAGAAAATTATTTATCTCATAATACATAGTTCCCCCCTACATTATGTCGGTGGCGCTTAGACTAAAATAAAAACAAAAACAAATTCAAACCGTAACTCACCCACTTATGATTTACGAGCCAAGAGCTGAGGCCCCGGAGGCTTTGTGGGCTTTTCGAGTGCAAATTACCAATGCAAATATGCATCCGAAAGAGTGTCTATCGAGTGGGGTAGATGTGCGGTGGCGCACCGAGAGATTTGCATAATTTTATGGCCACAAATTCCACTTAAACAACTTAATTAGATTTCAAAGAGCAGCCAGCAAAAGGCTGATTTCCAGGCACTTAAATAAATAAAGAAAATTCGAACAAAAATGGAGAATGGATGGCATGTCCCTTTGGGGCAGCCGCACTTTATTTATGAACATGGCCAGCGCCATTTTGGCCACAAGTCTAGTCCACTATGGCTTGGACTGTTATCTCCGCACAACTAAATGGCCACAACCAAACTGGATATGGATCGGTTTTTCGGTTGCCCAGACCCCAAACCCCAGCCACTTGGCCTGGCCCGATCGCTCGATCTAATGGCAGCTAATCTAGTTAACAGTTTTTCAATTATAGACGATTTGGTGCAGCTGATAATAAATGCGATAAAACATATTTCAGGCCAACGACGCCAATTGGCCACAGATTACATCAGAGATTGCTGGCCGCGTAGTTGGGCGTAGTTCGGTTGCAATTGTCAAAACCATTTGGTTTTGGGCCAAGCTCATTTGTTAGCCATATTGTTAGCTGCGGCTGCGGCTGCGGGCGCTAATTGATTTACCAGCTTGTAAGCGCCAAATGTGGATCATTAAAAACTTAATTAGCAGCCGGCATTCATTAGGTCTGCGGACCGCCCTTCGAATCTCTCCATCGCCCTTTAATTACAAATTCTGATCGATCCGATCGAGTAGGCCAATCTCGAAATCTTGTACAGAAATTGCGTATTGAGAAATCCGGATTGGGATTTGTAGTGATGCCCCAGGGTCGAGTCAAACAATCTTTTTTTTCTTCCATTTTTTTTTTTGGCAACAAATAAAATTAATGAGCACCGAGCTGAGCTGAGCTGCACTGCTAACCCAGTTCAAGTGGCTGGCCAAATGTCAGTGGGCATTTTTTCTTGATAAATGTGCCACATGGCAGCGAAACGAGTCAAGCCAAACGAAAATGAAAATGTTGCAAATGTTGCAGGGCGAGTATAGCCCCTCCCGAAAGGTTGCCCACCCCGTCACAGTCACATCATAATGATGCCCCCGATCCGCCTTGGATCACCTCCAGGGCGTTGCAACTTGCCCCGTGACTCCCCTGTCCCGTACTCCTTCCACTACCAAGTCGTGCGCCGTCAACTAGGAATATGTCAGGGTCTGGGGCCAATCCAGCCCAGGCCAGCTAGCCAGCATTGTTCCGTTCCGTTCCGTTCCGACCAGATCCGATCCGGCTCGAAGTGTGCCTGTTTAGCAAACACTGCCGCGGCCAGCGGAACAAAGTCGCCCTCTGACGAGAAGTCAAAATGTGGCAAATGTGTTGTGGCTCTTGGGTGTATTGTACTCTTTCGAAGGGGGTTGACTAATGGGACTTCAAGGATACTCTAAATATAAAAGAACTTCCTTTTTATAAAGATGGAAACTATGAAGGCAATACTCCACAAACTTGACTAAGGATCACCTTAAAATATTTCCTAAAAATATTTAATAAAATACAACAGAAAGCCCTTAAAGGGTAAAAATTTAATTTCTTTTTTTAAGTTCAGGGAAATATATCTTCTATATCCCTTTAAAATCTAATCTAATATAGAGCACTCCAAGTTCCTTGTTTAAAATATATTTCCTCCCATTTCTGTGATCTCTCCTTGACGTTCTGTCGGCGTGACAGCTTTGGGCCACAAAAAATTGCCAACTAATGTCGAAAAATTTAGTATCGACCTGGCCAAAAGTATAGTACAAAAAAAAGAAACATACAGACTGGCATATGTCCAAATTTTTCGAAGCCAGAGGCTCTTCTGCTGCAGCGGATTTCAAAACTGAATCTCAGAATCCGGCATCAATCGATCGCTCGGCAATCTTTTGTGGCGGCTGTTGGGGTTGGCCTGGCAGTCAATAAAATTATAAATGCCACTTATTAGACCGAACTATTTCTGGGCAAGATCGCTTCGCTTGGCTAGATCGCCGGTGCAGAGGCAGTGTGTTGATGTATGTAAATATAATGAAGCGAATATCGGGCTAATTAAAATAAATTCAGGGCGTGGCGAGCTCTCATGCCGTTTGCAATTAAATTAATTGCCCGCCATTGCCTAGCCGCGTCGACGGACTGAAGTTGCATAACTCGGTTGCCTCTTGGCCATTTGCGGTGTGTCTGTCTGCATCTGTGTCTGTGTGTGTATTGTTAAATGCGGAACTGCGGCTCCCAGGCAAAAGGAAACGGAATATGAGCCACTAGTCCAGCTACGAAATGAATCCGGGAATTAGCCATATTGCAATAACAGTTTCGTGGCATAATTACCCTTAAAGTTTTTAATGGCTCTTATTTAAACAAATCAAATGGGCCAAGATTAAGATGTAGACAGCTTGAACTATATATTTGGATCCATTATGGATTGATTTACCATTTGTGAACGTTAACTTGGCTCTTGAGAGCATGGTCATAATTTTGTTAAATCATTTTATATGGCTTTAATAAAGATACTTTTAGAGCACAGTATTCTCAGCCTTAAACTCAATATAAAAAGCATTCATAAAAGCAGCCATAAAATGTTTATATTGACATAAACATACAAATTCAGAGCAGCTTTTTGATGAATATAAACATTAAGTGGAAACTTGATTTCGCCATAATCAGTTGAACTCGTTAAATGCTAAAGTAAAGTTATCAAATTTGTTCCGCTAAATTTAAATTATTTTTTAGTTCGTTTGCTATATATTTTTTACACTCAAAAACTTTGAGAACTTCAAATATAAAAACAAATTAACAAAAATTGTAATTTACACTCAATCTTGTCTAAAGTCAAAAAATGCAGTAAAATTACAAAGTTTTATGTTCAAATTTCGCATTCATCTCCTAGTCTAACCAAATCTTCCATAGATTTTCCTCCTTCTAAAGTTGTTTCTGCCACTATGATCACTGCCAGTAACAGGTGCTGAAATGTATCTGCCATGGATATGATTCGTGTTGGCAGTGCTCGGCTTTTCACTCATCGCCCGTTTTTGAACAACAAAACCAGGAAGTCTATGACAATTATAAATCATCTTCGCCTCGCATTTTGCAGCTGTCATGATGAGCACTTGACTTGCCAGCTCAGCAGCAGTTGCTCATTACACCAGCAACATCAAGAGCAACAACAGCAGCAGCAACAGCAAAAGCAACATAAACTGCAATAGCAACACCCACCACCCCGGCAGCAAATGGGGCAAGTCAAGTGCTGAGGCAAACAGGGCGTCTAGCCGCTTTTTGAAATCCCCATATACCCATATAACGTTTTTGTTGCCTTTTTGTTTGCTCTTCCGACTGACGCAGCTAACTGGATTCCGTTTGTGGTGGCTTAGATAACATTTGGCCGG